CTTGGTGCCCGGACTACAAGATGGGTACCTACGAGCCCTTGGAGGTCTCCAATAAGCGCCATGCCGACCTTACCGTTTGTGCCCCAGGCACTGGCTACTTCCAGTCCTGCTCCAACGGTTTCCGCGGCTGCTGCAAGGCCGATGCCTGCTCTGGCTCGGGCCAGTGTGCGGATAGTACGAGGACCGGCACTTCCAAGTCTACCTCTACCCGGCTTTCCGGCCCCGATTAAAGTGTCTGCCCTGCCGGTACGGGATATTACGAGAGTTATAGCCTTAACCTCGAGGGTTGCTGCGTTTTACTTGCAGGGCCCAGACTACGGGTTAGACGGTTCATAGGGCATGTTTTGATGTTTTCGATCCCTTTAGGGTCTGGTCAGAGAGAGTCCCTCATTGTATTGTACTTGACGTTGAACGCGGAGACCGCCGCTTTGAGGGAAGCTCTGCAACCCGAACGTAGGGATGAGAATCACACGAAGACTAGAGTCAAAGAGAATGTCAACGACTCGTTTACGCGTGTTAAGGATATAACTGCAACTCAGGAAGCAAGTGAGAGATCTCCCAAGCGGAGGAAGGAAGGCAGGCAGAATAACCCGGAGCCAGTCGTTGAGCAGGCGCAGGGAATGATTATCCATGGTCTGCATCGTCTTCGGCAGGCTGAAGAGATGTAGAAAACCAAGATTTAGTCCATTTTGTATGGTTGTGGCAGGATAGGAGCTTGTTGGAGCCCAGGCGTGGTGAACGTCGATTGTGATGGGCTGAGCCCATGATGGCCTCGGCAACCCTCGGCCGTGGTATCATGATAACGTCATCCTGAAGCAGGCAGTGTCTGTGTGTTCCGGAGGATATAAGAGCTGCCCTCTCTTCCTGTCATCTAGTTCTCTCTTTTCTTCTTCTCTCTCCATTTGAGGCAAACCCGTAGAGTCGTCACCAGCTAGTTGCATTATACTCCTGGGACCGTTACATTGATCGTGTCCGGTTTGGGGTAGTGTCCGGTTCAAGGGTCACGTCGTCTAATGACCGAAGCCAAGCACAGCCATTCGAATAGATTAGAGAAGCTTATAGAGGTACAGATATAGACCTTGAAGCCTCACTGGATTCCAGCTCCGCTACCCTTGTCCGCAAGCTATATCAGGTGGTCTTCTAGCTACTACCACTTGCGTATATATATACAAAGATGTTGCCGCCGGTATCAGCAAAGTATCTCTCAGGCTCAGCCTCTGTTTTGTAAGACCTTGTCAACGTGCATTATCAGCGAGTGCACCATATCAGCGAGTACACCACTTAACAAGTTTTGGTGGGACTATACGCAAATTTTTGGCTTGCTCCCAGCCTATGAATCTGGACGTTTGGACAGAAGTTCCACAACGTTATGCTAATATTTAAATATAATCTAATCAAATCAAATTGACTGGTAAGTCGATTTGATTTGAATAGACTTGGATTTGACTTAACTTGAATGATTTGACTTGAATTTGCCTTGAAAAAGCTGATTTGTTAGGAACGCTGCTCAGGGCAAGGGTGCTCGAATTGAGAAGCCGACTCTGGGATGGACAGCATTGTTTTACGCGATCAGAAATGCAAACTACTCCATAACTCGCTTCCTCCTATATGAGATCCAAGATTGGCGAGACCCCGCTCATGGTTGCGGTGAGACGGCAAGCAGAGGACATCTTTTGGCTCTTGATCGAGTTTGGCCACTGCCCTGCCTCTCCTCCCCCGAAATGTCCACCTGAGCGCCCCGACCAGCAGATCGCCTAAACAGCGTCCCCGCCGGCTCTGATCGAGTCCTTGGAGGCTTTTCTCCTTCAGTATTTTGATTTTCAACTTTCTCTGCCGAGCACCGCGAGCTTCTGTGCAAGATGCCTGGCAAACCACACCCGCGCCGAACCTGCGGTTCAGGAGGCCTGGCGAGCAGAGAAATTTGCTAGGATCGCGAGAAGGATACCCATAGAAGATGCTTTCAGTTGCGGATTTCTCAGGCGGTGCAGGATTTGCAGAGAACCCGTTGTCGCGTCACCGCCACCCAGCGCTGCCGTCAGATCAATCAACTAAGTTTGGGCCTTGGATTTGATTTGATTGAGGCTTCGTGCTTATATATTTGAATTAGTTGCATTGATTAAGTTGATCTGACGAAGTCTAATGACTAGGATTGTCCGATGAGGCTATCCGCGACCCTGTTCCTTCCTGACCCTGACTCCTCCGAGCTCGACGCAACCATCCCGGGTCCAATTCTTCATCAATTGCAGCGTCTTGATTATGGACTCCTTGAGGGAGTGCCGTGTGACGTTATCGTCCGCTTCGCCGTGCTGAATGCTCTCTCGCAGTCGTCTGCCATCGTAGGTATCGCTAGGATGTCCAACGTAACCTACTGAGCCTTGGAAACGAGCTCCTGTTCTCAACCCACCATTGAATAGGGCCCGAAACTTCTTTAGGCTCAAGTCGGTAGTATCGACCAAGCTCGCTGCCCGCTTGGGTGGGTCGAGGATGCCTGCTCTTGATCCATTGAGTAAACCTGCTTAAATCCTTCTGCTGAGCAGGCGTCATTGGCGACGGCGAGGGAGTAAAAGTTACCTTCAGGATATCTTCATTCCCAGAGGTAGGATACCACATCTCGAGATATTCCTTCAGCTGTCGCTTAGCATCCCTCAGCCACGTCAGCTGCACTGTTGAGGTCCAGTTGGCCACAAGGAACCTTATGCCGAGGCCAGGGTGTAGAATGATGGATGCTGCGTAAAGAGGGGATTCTCCGAGGGAGGTGTAGTATTCGTTCAACTTCACCCAAGCGTTGTTGATGCAGGCCCTCATGTACGTCCTCTCGTCCGCTGCTAGGTTGGAGATACCGCGGATTCGGCCCCTTCAATCTGCCAAAAGCGTCTCCAGTGATCCTATGTTCCCTGTGACAATTAATGATGTACTAAGGATGCTAGTAGAGAACGAGAAGAAACACATCTAAGGGAAGTCAAGGAAGCGATTCGATAGACGGAGGGCCCGCGATATACTAAGGAGACCTTGGCAACCAGGGTTGACAGCAGCAACACGAGATGTTTTCTATAACTCGCCTTCGTCGCCACCAGTCGAACATGTTCTTCCATAGCATCCCTTCTCCATACAAGGTAACTCGGCGGTGACAATAACTTACTTCCTCAGATGCTCAATAGCTGAAGAAGTTGACTGAGCTTTGAAGAACGTGCCTTTTCCTCGCTCGCCACACGGCCGGCATTGTGATGGGCTGAGCCCATGATGGCCTCGGCAACCCTCGGCCATGGTATCATGATAACGTCATCCTGAGGCAGGCAGTGTCTGTGTGTTCCGGAGCATATAAGAGCTGCCCTCTCTTCCTGTCATTTAGTTCTCTCTTTTCTTCTTCTCTCTCCATTCGAGACAAACTCGTAGAGTCGTCACCAGCTAGTTGCAATATACTCCTGGGACCGTTACAGGCATACCCAGACATACTCCTTGACTGTGGCATCTGGGTTCAATTCGGCGAGGAAGAAGCCCCGGGACCCAATCCAGCTCCGACGGCCTTTGCTCCTCTTCTTCTATATATATATATTATTCCTACGCCGCTGTTATACGTGACTCGAGAACGAAGTGGCGCTGCTGCCAGATAATCTTCCGGACGTCGGATATTGTCGAATTGCCCACAGGCGCATTTTGACTAGCCTCCTCGACCAGCTTGATGAAGTTAGGGCGCGGAACGCTCCGTTGGGGATGTCCGAGCAAGGAGAATACCGAGGGGATTTGTCCATACCCTGATGGGGCTTGTGGAGCGGAACATAACATCGAAGAGGGTAAGAAATAGATGCTCTGCCGGACCGCGCAAGATCTATGAATGCTTCAAACGCCGCGCAGCAGCTGCGGTAGCAGGCGGGTTAGGCGAGCGGAGGCTCGACGCGTTGGTCGTGCCATGCTTTGCTCTTTTACCAGTCAGGAGCCGTCCTCAGGATGCCGAAACTCAGAGTAAAACTTTTGATCCAAAGGCCCAGAGCCGGAACAACGTTTTCTCCAGGGTCAGAAGGCAACCAGATATTTGCAAATATTGTTTTTATATATTTGGTTGTTTGATCTAAGCCCTTGTTAGAATTGAGTTAAGTTGGTTTACTTTGATTGAAACGACTGATCTGTAAATTGATCTGATTCCGCCACACCTGTGACGGGCTGAGCCTCAGCAACCCTCGTCCAACGCTAATGCTCGTTGAGAACCCCCCTTTTTGGGAGCCTCCCCCTTTTTTCATGGCATCTGAGCAACGGCCCCATCACGGTTGGCCCTTTTACCTATCTTCCCTACCTAGAGAGTGAGAATCCATTACCGCTTTTTGGCTACTTCCCTGCAACAGCAGGTATAAAAGTTCACTCCTCTCTACCACCACTACCTCGGCAGTTACCACACAACTAAGCAAGATTTGAAGCTATTCAGAAGCCATCCCACGCGGAGATAACTATCGTCGACAAGTCGCTGCGAGCCGCCGACGTGATCCCTCTCAGTGGGAGCTTGTGGACCTGGCGGAGACCGAGGGATGCCTTCTTCAAGAACAGGATATCGGAGTGTCGACGTTGACGCCGGCACGGTGACGTGGACGGGTTTCGCGGGTCCAGGGGACTACACGAAGACAGGGAAGAGGTCGTGCACAGGGACGAGGCCAGCAAAATAGAGTAGAGGAGACCCAAGGAGGTACAGGTCCTGCCTCTAGCGCAGCCATACAGCTCGGGACGCCAGCGCCGGACACCCCCTAGACTAGTTGACAAGTAGGAATGGATGCCTGATTTCCCTGCAATAGATCCCCAAGGCCACAATCCCCATTATCCTCAAGTTGCTCAGACCGATCGTTTTGCTCTGGAGTTTGTTTCCTTTCTTTTTATCTGTCCTTTTTTATTTTATTTTTATTAATTTTTTTTTGCCGAGGCTCTGTTGGGCAGCCAACAGTTACTTGCTCGAGTAAGCTTAGATCAACCAAATGGTATTGAACAGATTGAGGTATGAAAATGAGGCTTGAATTGGAATCACGATTCCAGAGTGACCACACAAATGAAGGATCAAGATAGTGGGTTAGGGTGTCTCAGAATGTCCCTTTTTTCTTGGAACAGAAAATTGTCCTCTCTAATCCTCCCAGGGGAATTACCCCCTTATATAGAGACAGTGTGCCATGATATGACGTTATGTCAGGAACTGTGTCATTGTGATGGATCTGTGCTGACTGAGAGTCTCGCATTGAACATCAGTGCTCAGTCCGTGAATCTTGGTGCCAAGGAACCCACTCAGTTCAACAGGCTCAGCCCGTCACAACCCGTGGCGAATTCAGGGAGTCTGTGCGGACCCCGTACAATTGTTGCGACCCCGTACAGTTAAAGATACAGTTCCGTTTTTTTCCTTGCCCCCCACTTTTTCACCTTTTCTTCTTTCCTGTCTCAGCCTAAGCCATATACCACGCTAAAAACAACCCAGGGCTGGGTTATAGGGGGACTTCTTCGCTGCGCTGCCAACTGACAAGAAATACCCTATATAATTTAATAACTAGACCTAACCAAAAAGTTAGGTTCAGGAACTTTCCCGATGCCCACCAACGCTACAGACTCAACTGCAGACTTTTTCGAGACCGAAGACTCAGGATGTAGACTCAAACACTCTGTTGGACCTCAATCACGCTGTATGCTCGCTTCGAGATTATATTCTTCAACGGTGACAAGTCTTGTTCAAAGCGCAACGTTAAGTAACAAAGGTATGCGTCAACCATGGCAACACTATCATCGATGGCTAGTAAAGTAATCTACAATGCCGTATCCTACGCGTATCTCATTAGATGTCGTCTACTTTGTAGCCAGCATCTCCAAGAATTTGTTTCCAAGAGCATCGGCGCTCATCGGGTTGTCCCCAGTAATGAGCTCCCTGTCCACGGTAATGCTTCCCAAGGACTTGGCGAGACCCTCCTGCATGTCGACGCCCTCTTTCCTCAGCGTACCTTCCACCTTGTCAATCTCACCCCTGAAAATAGTCTCCATGAGCTTCTCCTCGGCATCTGACCAGCTTGTCATCTTGTAGCCAGCGTACTCAAACTTCTCGCTCGGTCCATACTTGGTAGAAAGGAAAGCCCAGGGTCCGTGGCAGAGTGCGGCAGTCGGCTTTGACGAAATGTGGAAGTGGTGGAGGATGCGACCGAGCTCGGGGTTGTCACCCAGGTCAGACAAGGGCGCATGACCGCCGGGGATGAAGACGCCGCTGTAGTTCCTCAGTTCCTCGTTGGTAATCTCGGAGAACTTCCTCGGTCGCGAAAAGCCATTCTCCTTCTTCATGCGCTCGATCAGAGCTAGCTCTCTTTTCCTCTCGTAGTAATTTCCAGCGAAAGCGGCGAGAGATAGACTGAGTGGATCTGGTGTAGGTTCCTTGCCCTCGGGTGAGGCGAAAGTGACTTCGTAGCCGGCGTCAAGAATCTTTTGGAGCGGCTTGGCTAGCTCCATGAGGAAGTATCCAGACTCTTGAGGGACGGTCTTTCCATCGCCCTTGTAGAGGGGGAATGAAGAGTCGTCGGAAAGGACGATGAGGACTTTCTTGTCTGCGGCCATGATGTTGGACTGGATTTGTATCAGTGGCTTGCGTGAGAATGTATTTTGGGATAACTATAGAGAACTGAAAATGAGGATCAAAGGCTGTGAATGAAACACACCATCAAGTGGTTGTAACGTTAATTATTATGTATTTGTTGGTGGTTATCGCTCACCGGTCAGTGACGTAAGCGCTAGCCAACTTTCTACGTCTTTGCAAACGTCACACCTATCAAACGCTCCACTTAGGTGTATCCGAACATGCTCCCGTCAAATAACAGAACCCATTATAAGAGTGACCCGCACAGGCACACTCACTGCGATCCTTCGGTTCTCGGTATCAATATTGAAGATGGTGCTCTCCGTACTTTCTGGCGACCACGCAGATTCTGGGGCGCTTTGAAGACGGCGATTCAGAACGCGAGGACAAAGAAGGCCTAGCCACGTTCCTCCACTCTGGGCTAAATGGGACACGGTGGCTTTTGAGTCGGTGTCCAAGGTTAGCTTCAATGCTTCATTGTCAGTTAATGTTACAATCCAGGTAGCAAGACGTTACGTTTAGACTTTCGTGTTCTATGTCTGTATCACAACATCTGAGCCTTTTTTTATTCCTACCATTGGAGCCTCGGTCCCAGTCTCATCAGGCTGGATGACTTCGCCTCTGACACCCGCGTTCTCGAGTTTTCTAAACTTCATTCACTACGAGTTATATCTCCTGGCCTTATGTTTGAGCCAGTGTATCCTCCAATACACGCTCTCTTCACATGGATTCTGCATCCGAGATTCCGTCCGTCCAATTTCCCCTTTCAAGGCGCGGCATGAACGAAGGGCTGCAGCGCATCCCAAATGGGATATATATCGTTCTACCGTCTACCCAACTACAGCGAGATCGTAGACCGGGCCTGCGTCTTGCAATCACGTTGCTGGTGGTTGTCGAGGCTCCTACTACACCCCTCCGGTCTGGCAGCAGCAACCTTTAGAGTATAGTTGTGACCTGAACATCGCGGTCTGTTGTTGTTGGAAGAGCATACCTATGTAGGTAAGTACACAAACAACCAGAGAAAGAGACTCAAATGCCCAGAACCGGATATTGCTCAATCTCCGGGTTAATTCAACGGCGTTGCGCTCTCATATTGACTTTCAAAACAGTTCGGGACGGTCAGAATGCCAACGCAGCCAATGGACGGCGGCAAGGGCGGAACATGGGGTATGGATCCTCCGGCAAGCCCATCCGGATCTTGTTCATTAACATGGTGCCAGCCCACTGTCAGCATAGACAAACTGCAACCCATGATGGCCGCCAAGAATCCCTGGAGGGCGCCAACTGCCGGCGCATGGTGTCCGGCCAAGATCCGGAGCCGGCCAATGGGGCTTTCTGGGACAGGCTCGGCATTACTGGGTCACCGGCACCATATTCGTCGGAGAGGGGCCGATTAATTGATCAGCAACCACGTTATATTGCCCCCCTTAAGCATCCTCTCTTCCCCGCGAAATCTGCAGAACCCGTTGGGAATGACGGTGCGACTGCGGGGCCTACTCTCCGTGCTCGTACGTGCAGATCCCAACCCGGAAAAAGGGAGGATGGCGGATTGACGACGGGGTACTAGCCGCCTGCCGTGGGCGAGGACACGTCCATGCCCCGATCCGTCCACTTGAAGATCCCTTCGAGAACCCTGCTTTGGGATGTGATGGGTGCTTACCCCAGCTTACCCCAGACTTTCAGGGCACACCTAATCAATCTGGCTGTCGTCGTCTTGCTCGGCGCTGCCCGACCGAGATTCTCCGTGCATCCTCCCCCGGATGAAGCTGGAATGACCATTGGCTGGTCAATCAACAAGGCCATGAAACTGTGGTATGGAATGTCGGCTCACTCTTCCATTGTCCATGGTGAGCATGTTTTCCGCATCTGGACAGGAACGGAGCCGCTCCCGCACCTCCCTTGTTTTGCAGAAGACGAGAGGTATAAGAGGGTCAGAGGGCGGCTCTTTTGCGATACCCCCAAGGACATCTTCCTGCACGCTCAAGCAGCTCCTGTCTAGATTCTTTACTCTGTTGCAGTCTCGTCTGTCACCATGAAGATGAAGCAGTATCTCGAATACCTCGCGGCGGCTCTGCCGCTGATGAGTCTCGCCACGGCCCAGCAGGTCGGCAAGCAGCAGACTGAGACGCACCCGAAGATGACATGGAAGAAGTGCTCGAGCGGAGGATCCTGCACCACCGTCAACGGCGAGGTCGTCATCGATTCCAACTGGCGTTGGCTGCACGACTCCAGCGGCAAGAATTGCTACGACGGCAACAAGTGGACCGACGCCTGCAGCTCGGCCACCGACTGCGCCTCCAAGTGCCAGATAGAGGGCGCCAACTACGGCAGCACCTACGGCGTCTCGACCAGCGGCGACTCCCTCACGCTAAAGTTCATCACCAAGCACGAGTACGGCACCAACATCGGATCCCGCATGTACCTCCTGAACGGCTCGTCCAAGTACCAGATGTTCACCCTCATGAACAACGAGTTTGCCTTTGACGTCGACCTCTCAACGGTCGAGTGCGGCCTCAACAGCGCCCTCTACTTTGTGGCCATGGAGGAGGACGGCGGCATGGCGAGCTATCCGACCAACAAGGCCGGCGCCAAGTACGGCACTGGATATTGCGACGCCCAATGCGCCCGTGATCTCAAGTTTGTTGGCGGCAAGGCCAACATTGAGGGCTGGAAGCAGTCCACCAACGATCCCAACGCTGGCGTCGGCCCCCTGGGTGGCTGCTGCGCTGAGATCGATGTCTGGTGAGCATGGCCCCTGCCGTTAAGCAGGCTTAGTACATAAGGAAGCTAACGTGAATCGACAGGGAGTCGAACGCGCACTCGTTTGCCTTCACGCCGCACGCGTGCGAGAACAACAAGTACCACGTCTGCGAGACGTCGGGATGCGGCGGCACCTACTCAGAGGACCGCTTCGCCGGCGACTGCGACGCCAACGGCTGCGACTACAACCCCTACCGCATGGGCAACACCGAGTTCTACGGCAAGGGCAAGACGCTCGACACCACCAAGAAGTTTACGTGAGTCGAAACTCGTCATGTTGAATGATCACGACTCAGTGCTGACGTGAGGATTTTTCTCTGTAAACAGTGTCGTGACGCGGTTCGAGCGCAACAAGCTCACCCAGTTCTTCGTCCAAAACGGTCAAAAGATCGAGATCCCCGCGCCCACCTGGGACGGCCTGCCGCAGGACAGCTCCGCCATCACACCCGAGTTGTGCAGCTCCATGTTCCAAGTGTTTGACGACCGCGACCGCTTTGCCGAGGTGGGCGGCTTTGAACAGCTGAACCAGGCCCTGACCGTGCCCATGGTGCTCGTCATGTCCATCTGGGATGATGTAAGTCTGCCCCTCTTCAACTTCTCATGAGGATTTGGGCTTGTTAAATGCTCACATTTCATTCTAGCACTACGCCAACATGCTCTGGCTCGACTCCAGCTACCCACCTGAGAAGGCCGGCACCCCTGGCGGCGACCGTGGCAGCTGCTCTCAGGATTCCGGCGTCCCCGCCGAGGTCGAGGCCCAGTACCCCAACGCGTAAGACTACCATACCTTTTACCCAAAATTTCCATGACTGTGTCTGGTGCTAACCATGCAACAGGAGGGTTGTGTGGTCCAACATCCGCTTTGGTCCTATCGGCTCGACCGTCAGAGTCTAAGTTGTGGCTTTCATGTCGAGTTGGACTCGTGTCTATGTCTTGCTGTTCTCGTGTTGGTGCCCGACAATGTCTATTGGAGGAGTCAGATTGCCATGCTCCCATGTTGCTTTCTTGTGCCAGAACTGGAACTTTCGTACCGTAGTGTACATAGTCAGGTACACAGTAGAAACCAACTCCACTGTTCCATTTCTGTATCAACTGATGAAACCTCTGATGCCCCTTTTCTTCGTTTGATTACTTTTCCGCTTTGTACTGTGATTCCCAAGAGCTCTTCTTTTGACTTCAACCTTCCCCTTCAACACCACCTTCCGATTTGAACAACGGCTAACGTCGGTTAAGTTGCGGTCAATTGAGGAACACTAGGGACAGACACTGGTAGCGTGCACGTGTGTGTATCCGTTGCGGGCCGCCACAAGGTACTCGAATTTTGTACCATTCCCACTACTGGTTCAACCTATCGTGGGCGGTTCTTGCGCTTGATTTGGCTCGATGCAGTAAGTAGTAGCCGAGCTAAGAAGGATGCCATATGTACATGCGGCTCCTTAAGAGGCAGGCCATGCGGTACGAGGCAACGTGATATTCCAGGAAGGGTACGTCAGGCCAAACTCGCATCGAGATTGGAAAACTTTTTTCGTAAAAGGGATGACGCCACATCACGACAGCGAGAAGCCGACGTATGATAAGTCCGTTCCAAGTTCCAGGCCCCATCCATGAGCATGTGAATCTCGGCGAATATCCACATCCGGACAAGGATCCGATGACATCAATTGCAGCCTGTGTTTGCTGTCCAAATTCGACGAGGCTGAGAAAAAAAGCTTTATATCGTATGTCCTTGCCAGACATGGATATTCTGGAAATCTGTCGCGCGTCTCGAACGGTCTGAACATTTGCACGTGATTGCTCCCTTGGGCCCAAAACCCTTGCTTACAATCCAACCTCTGTCCGGGCTCCTCGTTTGTTGATACTTCGTTCCGGAACACCATGTCCAAGCTCTCGTCGGCCCTGGCGAGCCCAATCAAGGGGGAAGACTACCGGGACAGCGAGCTTGCTGCTTCAGACGGCCATGACGGTGAAGTGGGTAAGTCGAACATGGAGCCACCACAAAAGAGGGAGAAATGAGCTAATAAACGATTTCGTTCTCTCAGAGGGACGTCTGGAACGTCTGGAACAGGCGGCAGAAGCCAAGAGGCAGATCGGCGTCGTGTCTGCCACATTTCTGATCGTCAACCGCGTCATTGGCACCGGCATCTTCGCGACACCCGGCGCCATCCTCGCATTGTCCGGCAGTGTTGGGCTGTCTCTGTTCATATGGGTTGCCGGCATGCTGATTGCGGCGGCTGGCACGGCCGTGTACTTGGAGTTTGGGACGGCCATCCCACGAAACGGAGGCGAGAAGAACTACTTAGAGTACATTTATCGCAAGCCAAAGTTCCTGGTCACCGGCTTGTACACTGGTTACGTGGTACTTCTTGGCTGGGCCAGTGGCAACTCCGTCATTTTCGGGTATGTCTAACTGAACCCCCTTCTTCTTTTGCTTTTTCTGTTCTTTTTGTTTTCTATGTTTTTCAGTTTCTTGCTTTCTTTTGGGCACCCGGGAATTTTGCCTCACGACACTAATACATTCGCACACCAACAGCGAGTATATTCTCCATGCCGCGCAAGTCGAGGTTGACCGGTGGAACCAGCGCGGCGTCGGTCTTGCCTGCGTCACGGCCGCCTTCCTGATTCATGGAACGGCACTCAAATGGGGCATCCGGCTCCAGAACCTCCTCGGAACCATCAAGGTTGTCATCATCCTCATCATCATCATCGGCGGCTGGGTGGCCCTTGGTGGACATCTCAAGCTGCCTGAGGACCAGCGCCCGCACAACTTCACCAACGCCTTCGAAGGAACGACGGGCAGCGCATATGGTGTTGTCACAGCCCTCTACAATGTCATCTGGAGCTACATTGGATACAGCAACGCCAACTACGCGTTGAGCGAAACCAAGAACCCTGTTCGGACGCTGAAGATCGCCGCACCGCTGGCCATTGCAACCATCTCGGTCCTCTACATGCTTGTCAACATCGCCTACTTCGCCGCGGTGCCCAAGGCCGAGATCATCGAAGCCCGGCGGCTCGTTGCCGCGTCGCTGTTCAGAAACGTCTTTGGCCCCGCTGCCGAACGCGCCTTGTCGGTGTTTGTCGCTCTCTCTGCCTTTGGCAACGTGCTCAGCGTCATCTTCTCCCAAGGCCGCCTTGTCCAAGAGCTGGGCCGCGAGGGCGTGCTGCCCTTTTCCCGCTTCTGGGCCAGCAACCGGCCGTTCAATGCCCCGCTGGCCGGTCTCTTTGAGCATTGGCTGGTTTCCGTCATCATCATTCTCGCTCCTCCGCCTGGCGATGCCTATGACTTCAGTCTAAAGTGAGTCGAGTCCTCCTTAATTGCTGCAATTACCCCGAACCGTTGGCTCACCATGGCTTTCTCGCAGCATCATCTCATATCCGCTAGCGATTGTCAACACCTTTGTCGCGGCAGGGTTAATCTACCTGTACCTGAACCGCAAGTCGTTGAACTGGAGCCCGCCCATCAGCGCCACCCTCCCCGTCGTCGTCTTCTTCTTTCTCAGCAACATCTACCTCGTCGTCGCCCCCTTCGTGCCGCCCGTCGACGGCCAGAACATCTACAAGACGCTGCCATACTGGATCCACTGCGTTGTCGGCTTCGGTATCATTTTCGCCGGTGGCGTGTACTGGCTGATTTGGGCTGTCGTTCTGCCTAAGATTGGTAAATACGAGCTTGTGCAGGAGACCATTGTTGACGACATTGACGGTTGGGAGAGGAGGGTGTTCTTCAGGCGGCCGATTGGGGAATCAAAGGCCCAACAAGGTGCGGGTAATGTTGTTGGGTAAAGACTGGTGGTTGTCAGTCATAGAGTTGTTACCCAATGAACAGGTTCTGGGGCCACTTTGCGATTGTTCAAGCGAAAGCTGGGCAACTACTAATACCTACCTTGAATACCAGACCTCAATCGACGTCTCTGCATATTAACTCTAGTCTGGGCTCGCTGCAACTCCTATCCAGTCGGCCATAGTGTCACGTTTATTCTCGGTGCGACAACTGTGAAGTACATATCCGGATGTAAAAGCCCCTCGAGTCTCGAGGAGTCGTGATAGTGTCTTGATGTACCCCGTCGGTATGTAACCGAAGTATGCTCACTGGCATACACTGCTAACGTATACCTTAGGAGGCTGGCTTGTGCATGGACGCCACAGGAAGATTCGACGGCCTCTCTGGGAGTAAGGAAGCCGCTCGGTTGGACGGGCCCAAATGGCCGCAGCGGGGGCAGGTCGGCCAGGGGTATTGCCGAAGGGTTGGCAAATACAGCGGTCATCTATCTCGATCACCCCTTATATGTTTCTTGGCGGCTATTGGCCGCTTTGACACAAAGCACTGTCAAGGAGTGCGATGATTAGGCAGAAAGGCCGGGGCCTTCAGTACCGTGCCGCCATCTTCCAGTTCCAGCACTCTCGAGCATGGTGGAAATCTAAAGACGGTACTTAAAGAAGACACAGTACTCGCCTGGTATGTGCACTCCTAGGGAGCAAGATTTTCCTGGCAATCCAGGCAGTCTGATTTCCAATTGAATGCCGCCATGCATCTCAAGTTTGCTTCACTGCTCAGTCTTGCCGGCCTCGTTCCCCAGGTTTCTGCGCACGGTCTTGTGAGGAAACCAGCAACACGTGCGCCCGGCCCGGCAATGGAGGCGGCATGCGGCAGGATCGCAACCCAGTTCTATCAGGCCGATAATACGTCGTATCCCGAAGCCTTGTTGAGGGCGAATCCAGGGGGTCTGAAGGCTCCCTATGACCCCGGGAAGTGCAACCTCTGGCTCTGCAAGGGGTACCAGTTTGCCGACAACGCCGCCAACGTGCAGAGCTACCAGGCAGGTCAGGTTGTTGACCTCGAGGTCTGGATCCGGATCCCCCATAAGGGGTACGCCAATGTTTCGGTCGTCGACACGACCAGCAACAGCATCATCGGCACGCCCCTGACTTCTTGGCCCGACAACTACGCGGCCTCAACCAACCCGCCAGCGGACCAGACCAATTTCAGCATCAAGATTCCGGAACTGGGAGACAAATGCACCAGAGCTGGCGCTTGTGTGAGTACATGTATCCCGGGCGATCTGCGTCATGGAAGAGCGCTGTCATTGCTGACAAAGGTGGACCACAGGTCATTCAATGGTACTGGTTCGGTCAGAGGCAGACGTATGAGTCCTGTATCGACTTTACTGTTGCTACTTCGGCGGCGGAACCGGGATATTCCCACGAGCACAAAATCAGGGGCCAGATGCGGTTTTGAGTTGGGAGTAAGCTGCAAAGGCATAGAATTAGCCATGGTCCGCCATGACTTGATGTGAGAAGGGAATGGGGATCGAGATGAAGGGAGAGGCCTTGATAGAACGAACGACTTCAGTCTTGTTCACCACTGCGAAAGAGCAGAGTATGTCGAGTTCGTTGGTGTTGTGAGTTACGGGAGTTTCTCTTCTTTCCAGCCCTAGAACTTCCCAATGGCTGCCGAGGCGACAAAGTGAGAGGTTTGTGAGTCGAGTTCATCTCACATGACTCAGAGGACTGGACAAAGGTAAGAAAGAAATTGTGTCTTGAGCTCTTTGTCTGCGTTGTCTCCATTGTGGTTATTGCAGCTCTTTCACACTGAGACGCTTGAAATGATTATATGTCGCAACATTTGCTGTAAAAGAGAGGAGAAACCATTTTTTAATCAGGATACTGGCTTTGAGTGGCGGGAGTCTGTGATGCATTCATGCCCAAAAACAACCCTCCAAGATTCCAAGCCGGCTCTGGATTCGTCAATGTTGGGCGCTTAACGGGTGTTGTCTGTCGCAGCCACCCTCCATCCTCGTCCAGTCATTTTACAAGGCCTGCGGCCCCCTGGGCTGCCCCTGGCGAACGCGCTTGATGTGTTTCAGGCACATACTAAACATCCTAATTTAGACTCGACATCTAACAAAATCTGACCCTAGGTGACATTCCAACGCCGCAGGAGCTTGAGTTAGACACATTCCTTGAACGAAGTTGAGGGTTCAAGAGGGTGCTGGACACTGCTCCATTTTCCTTCTTTCGCCCTTCGCTCAATCTTCATCGTTCTACCCTTCAATAACCAACAGAAGATGTTTGACCAACCAAACTGCACTATCATTCCCGGTGACGTGCCAAGCGATGCAGGTATTGCCGGCGCCGGTGTATGTGGCCCTCCTCCTCCGTAATACACCTCGCATAAGTGCACTCGCCAAGCTAACAACGGTCCTCCAGGTTCTTCTCGCTTCCACCATCACAGCAGGGCTAGCGCTGAGCTTGTCAGCGAGCATGGTGATACAGGAAATATGGCGTCCGTCAGACTCCAGGACCCGAAATCTCTCCGTCATCCGACGGAAACTCCTCAACGGGTACTCGGACCAGCAGATCATGGTCGGCATCGGCGTGCAGAGCGTCGGGCTGGTCAAGTCCAACACGCTGGTGCCCTATCACTTCTTTCTCATCTGGATGCTGGCGCTGCTCTCCATGGCAACACACAATGCGGCTTTGTTGGCTCTGGTTCAAGACTTCAAGCGCGATTGGGTCCTGCGCTGGCTACGACAGCTGCTGATGTTTGCGAACTTGGCCCTTTCTTGTGTCTATGGGATATACGTGCTGCAAAGCAAGGTCAAGGGATTGCCAAACACGCTGCCCATCGGCTGCGTCTGGAAGCTGGACTCGACCACGTCCAGCGTTGGAGGGCTGGATTACGTGGGGACGATTGTGACTATCGCTGGGAATTGCGTCGTCTTCGGTTTGGCGACATGGTATTTGCAGAGTCGCCGGCAGAGATTCTACAAGGCGGTTCAGATCGTCGGGTTGATCTTAATGTCCGGAATTGCCATCGGTATGTTGTATCTGATCACTTACTCTTATTTTCTTTCTCCTGGTATAGAACTACCTTGCTGACCCGGATGCTCTGTCCCTAGGAGCAACTGTACGCTCCTATTTGCTATCGCAGGCGTTTGGAAACCCAGATGTCAAGCTCAGCGACGAAGGCGAGAAGCAGTGGAGCTTCGGTCAGCTGCTGTCACTCCTTATGCTGACTCTGCCAGTCATCTCAGCCATTGAGATCATGCGGGGGGAGATAGCTGTTGCACCGCCACTCCAAGACGAAGACAAGCAGGCCTTGTTTGACACAGAGCTGTCAGGGAATCACTAGATCAATCACGCTACACGTACAAGTACATAGAGTGCACGAAAACAGTAGGGCATAATCCTTTGCCCCCCACATCAAGTATCAGCATGGAACCATCAAGTCAGAGATATCCTATCAAGGGAAAACGCTAGACTCTACCTTAGATGAACCACAACGAGTGAGTATCGGACATCCTGAGTGACCGGTGACAGATGGGTCTCAGGCAGCCTCAAGTCCGTACGGCTCTTCAACCACGGGACCTCTCCATGTGTTATGCAGAACCCCTTCCTTTGAGTACCTGCCCAGTGCAACCTCTAGCCCGATGAACACGGTCGTTAGGCACTGGTCCGGAAACATGTATTGAAACGGGCGGCTCCCGTTGTAGCTGCGATGCTGTAATAGCTTGATAACCTTCTGCGGCTCCTGCTTCACGGCGTCCATGGCAGCGTCGCTTACAGCCCGTCCCCATTTTCTTTGGCTCGCTGCTCAGGGGCGCGGGCGGCAGTAGTACAGGACGATGCCCACGATGCAAAGTACACCGAAATTGGTCTCAATAGCCACGTATAACCGCGTGTCGTCCCACGGAATCGTCACCGCCACCTTCTCCCCACCCTCTGTCAGGTCGGTGTAATGGATATCCCCCTCAAATTCCACGCCTCCAAGTCCTTGAATCCGTCATTCTTGGGCCAGAAGACCTGAAAAAGGGCGGGCGGCATCTTCAGGCCCTTCCCGCATATATTCCATAGCGAAGTGGGATCGTTCTCTGCGGTTTTTGAGGTTCAATGCTCGATGACGGTTTTGGCCACCTCCTGGGGCGAGGCGATGCCGGGGAAGGGGTCGGTAAAGATTTGAACGCTTTGGGTGGTCGGTGCGATTGGGGTTCGGTCTGGGATTCGGACAAGGACTCCGAATTCGGTAGCGAGGGATTGCAGAGGCAGCCCCAGTTGCCTCCGCATCTTCGCATCCGGGTTCACGTCCACCCACTCGACCGCCTTCAGGCGGTTAGTACAAACCCCTCTCTTTGAAGTACTGGGAAACTGTTCTGGTATCCCCCATGAGCACCACCGTCACACACCCGTCCGCACGCTCCCTGAGACCCATTGCCCCCGGAGCTGGGTAGCCCACGTCCTGTAGCATTTTGATAACCTCCAGCATCGCCTGCTCTGCGGCGTCGATAGCAGCGTCACTTCCTGCCGCTCGTTCACGCAAAGGCAAGCTAAATCTTTGGGTCGCTGCTCACAAATGCGGGCGGCAGAACGGACAGGACTTCGCACACGAGACCGTCCTGTTTTCTGCCGTTGACTCGCGCCGGGGAATCGCCTCTGGCCGGCCTCCCTGCCAGGAACAAGCGCGTATCTTCGCGCGGAATGGTCACCGTCACCTCCACCCCTCCCTCTTACTCAGTGAAGGTTATACGTTGCGGGAACGGCTCGCACGTGTAGACGAATCCGTCCTCTTCAGGGAAGTTGGTCCGAAGAATGAGGTTCAGTGACATGGATAACCACAACACGTTGGGAGGCTCGGATATCCGGGCTGTTTTCTTCTGCCGATTCGTGCTCATATGTCTGGTACAAGGGTTCGTCGATCATGCGGATGAGGCGGAGGTCGGGCATGATGAGGCGGATTGGGGGGTTGGCGCGGTACGGGTTGGTGGCTCGGATCGGGAGTTGGTGGATTTGCACTTGCGTCCCTCGCCGAGGCTTCCGCAGAGAGAGAGAGAAATCAATGATGCGCCGGGGCTCGAAGTTGTTGGTCGAGAAGGAGTTGAGGTGGTGAGACTGAGATGGGCGCAAGTGGTCGCAGACTTGATTGACGCGTCTGCCGTGTCGAACTGAGCAAAGTTTGGATATGGCGAGGTGGTGGATTGCATGTCCGCAGCCGGACGCGACCGTAAGTGAGGCAAATCGCCCCTGTCCTCACATACAGTATGTAAAACTGTGTCGGTTCATCTTTCAGCCTCACTTCAATAACAAGCACAACGACAAAAGCATCATGGTGACAGACATCAAAGTAGGTTCCGCTCCATCTTCAATTGGCTGCCTTGAGTAGAGTACACTCCATCATCCCCCGGGCCACCGTATAACAACCAACCGGACGGCGTCCCAGCGCAGAGTAAGACTGCTGCAGTGACCTGGCGAGGTCATCGTGCTGCTTCCCTGGCTTCCAGTTGCCCAAAATTCCATGCGTCCGGGCAGTCTGCAAAATCGGTTTGAAGTCCTCCAACGTCCCGCCCTGTCCCTTAAAGCTCATCAACGTCTTGAACCAGTCTATCGTCGGTATGGTGGTGCCCGGGATGGGTTTGAGGCTAGCTTCTACACCAAACTTCATTGTTGAATGAGGGTTCACCGCCTTGATCGGGAAGCTCTGCAGGTCTTGCTCCCGGGCCCTGAGTGCGGCAAGGTACATACATAGTTTTCATCCATCAGGCCACCACTTGTCGAGCACGGCTGGGTTATTGAGGTCCAGGGTGTCCGCCCGTGACTGGACTATGCGGCTCCCGTCCGAAATCTGCCTGAGCACCTGGGCATGGTTCAGCCTTCGGCCAAAGATTTCTGCTGCGTTGTACCACCCGTTGTAGATTGGCTTGCCGTTGGCCGTCTTTGGGTCGTCCGCAGCAAGAGCGGCAATCTCGGTGCTCGTTGGGTTGTCAGGGTCAGCAATGAACTTGTTCAACCGGTCCACGTATTTCGGATTCAGAGCGGCGTCTGTCCAGAACGTCAACTGTTGTCCCTTCCTGTGCAGGTGTATCGGCGGCAGCTGCAGTTCAAAAGAGCCAGCAGACGCATCAAGGCTTCTGAACTTACCGCAGCGGGGTTTTGAAGGGGGTGAGAACGCTATTTTACAGCGCTATGATAGCTTGAAAAGTTTTGACAGCGCTGGCAACTAGCATTCCCAGTTCAACTAGCATTCCCAGTTCAACTAGCATTCCCAGTTCAACTAGCATTCTCAGTTCAACTAGCATTCCCAGTTCAACTAGCATTCCCAGTTCAACTAGCATTCCCAGTTCAACTAGCATTCTCAGTTCAACTAGCATTCCCACGCCCGCACCTGCAGCAGCCTGATCCAGCGCCTAGCCTGGTGTATTCCGTACGCTCCGATGCACCCCCATTGCACTCACATTGCATCCTGCCATTGCACCCTCTGTTGCGCTTTGTCATTGCACTCCGGCAGTTTGAACCACTGCCGCATTCAGCGTCTATTTCCCTATCTCAAAATCCAGATGACCCCTCCATAAGACGGGAGTCGTGTGCATCCATCCCCGGCGGAGAACTTCAGATCGGCGGGGCCAGACATCATGCAAGACCTCTTAGCCCTTTCTGCGACCGGTTAATCTGATTGAACGGAAGCGCTGTCGGTCTGTCGGTTGGCAGGAGAGGGGGGCCAACGCCACCTTCACAGTTGTCTTCGCCCTCTACCCTAGCATGCCTAGGTAATGCGTCTACCACGCCACCAGTTCGTTACTGACACAGGCGTCATGAGGGGAGGTAGAAATGGGCAGCTTACATCGCACGCTCTCACAACGTATGTACGTCCCAGTTCACCCAAATGATACCAACGCCCTTGACCGG